TACTCAGAGTGGCTTGATTCTATCAATGACGATTGGGCCCACCATGACGTTGCGCAAGTGTACAAGAGGCTTCAGAGACTAGGCCGCAGAAAGAAAGATCTTCAAAAAGGTCCTAGGCCGCTGCCAAAGTTGAAGGTTTCCGAAGAAGGTGTTGCCAGCACCTTTGAAGAGTGTCAAAAAGCATGGAGAAAACAATTTGCGGCAATTGAAGCTGGAATTGACGCTACCGAACTACAGCTTGCCCAACTGCATGACAGTGCGCATTCCAATGCGGCACAAGACCCTGATAGTTGCCCAGATCCATGCCAAATTCTGGCGTTGATACGACGGTTCAAAAATGGTAAGGCTCCAGGGCCTGGTCAGCTGCCTGTGGATGTGATCAAAAGTGGAGGATATGCAATGGCGCAGATTCTTACTCCCCTTTTGGTGAAAGCAACCTGGCATATGAAAGAGCCGCTTAGTTGGAAAGGAGGTCTGCTGATACCACTTTTCAAAGGAAAAGGATCACCGGCTGAACCATCAGCGTACAGATCCATCTTTTTGTCTGATGTTTGTGCAAAGATTCACCATGCCAATCAGAGACAGAAGCTTGCAGAGGTATGGAATCAAGATGCCTCACTCATACAGCTTGGAGGGCGGAAAGGATGTTCGACTGATGTCGCACATCATTTGCTGCATGCGCATCTGTCCTGGGCACGAGTGGCTAATGTCTCATGTGCAATTCTGTTTGTTGATCTTCAATCTGCATTTTATTCTGTTTTGAGATCCTCTTTTTTTCAAGGTGATTTCCATGATGACGAGATTTGCTATGCGATGAAGCATCTTGGAATTACGCCAAAGGAATGGCATGAGATTAAATCAGTGGTTGCCTCCGATGATGCCACCCATGGACTCCACCAACATCAGGTAGGAATCATGAAGGACATGTTTTCCGCAACCCACTTTTCCATGCACGGGCTCGATGGGAAAACTGCCACAATGCGCGGAACTCGACCGGGAGACCCGGTGGCCGATATTCTTTTCAACATGGTGTTTAGGTTGGTAGTTTTGGATGCTCGGAAGAAGATTGAAGCTTCAACAGGAATGTGTTGCTTCGGTTCACCAAAGCCTGCAGAAGATGTGACTAGACAGATCTCTGTTCCCGACAGGGGCTTCGCAGAGGTTACCTTTGTCGACGATATTGCTTATGCCATTCACTCACAATCGCCAGATGATGTGATCAGTTCCCTACAAGTAGTGGCATCTTGCTTGCATGATTCCGCTGCATCACGAGGACTGGCAATCAATTATCAGGCGGGTAAAACTGAGGCTCTTATCAGTTGGCTGGTACAGGATCGAAGTCCACCAAGCACAAAATCTGGCATGCACATGGAGGTAGATTGCCCGTAGTCACAGAGCATGGAGTTCAATCCCTTCAACTTGTGCATTCCTACAAGCATCTGGGCTCGTTCATGCAAGATCATGCGGTGGTCCAGAAAGACATACGATATCGCACAGCACAGGCGAGGAAAGCCTTTGGCCAATTACACCGACAGTTCTATGGCAAAAGGAATGTGCATGACAGAACCAAGAGTGCTGTTTATGCCGCGCTTGTGATGTCACGTCACACCTATAATGCTCACACATGGGCATGGGTGTCAGAGAAGGATTTAGTGCAATGGGAAAACGGCATTAGAGCACAAGTTGCAGCCCTAGCCAAAAGTGTCTTTAGACATGTGCCTCCCTTTCACTTTACCACGGCTGAAATTTGTGCTTTGATTGGACTCAATGGACCGCAAGACCTCTTGCATGCCAACAGGCTGAGGTATGCAAAAAGGGCTATCCAAACTGCCCCCCATGCCATGTGGTCATTTCTGTATGACAATGATCATGTGAATTCTTGGATGACATGGCTAGTTGCTTCCTACAAATGGTTGCGTGTACATTTGCCACGGGTTGCAATTCCAGATTTGGATGAAGCAGGAGATGTGCTTGCCTTCATTGCCATTGATGAGAAATGGAAAGGTCGGGTTAAAGCGGCACTACAATCCTGCCTTCGTTTCACAGCTGCAAATGCATTTGGCAAATTGTGGACCAGCAGGTTGCAGATACAGGTTTCCCGATTTGCGCCATTGACAGAACAGGTAGGCCCATCTGCCGAGAAGAAGTGGAAGTGTAACTTGTGTGCAGCCAGTTTTGAGAGCAAAAAGGCATTAGCAGTTCATTCAAGACACAAACATCAATATCGAATTCAGTTGAAATACTACGTGTTTGGAGATGAATGCTCAGCATGTGGTAAGAAGTTCTTCAGCCGTGCCCGTCTGCTGGCACACGTAGGGGCATCTCAGCATTGCAAAGAGACATATTTTGCTTGCTTTGTTCCAGCAGCTGAAGAAGTTGTTGAAAGCGTAGAGAACGATGAAAGAGAGAAAATGAGGGCGCTTCGAGCTCAAGGATGGTCAGCCTCCAAGGCCTTTCTCCCTGTCACAAGGATCAGTGGCCCTCTCCTTCCCGGAAGTGGAACGGATGACGCAGCCACAATGAAGGCGCGATGGAACGCCCGCATATGTGAAACAGGTCGAGCCTTTGAGGGTTTGGATGGCTATTGTGAGTGTTCGTCTGAGGCCGCTAAAAGCGATGTTGAGATTTTGCCCTTTCTTCTGCAAACGAATGGAGGCATGAAACAAGGAGAAGCAGGAATCTACATGCAGTTTGGCCTTGCTGCCGAGGCAGCAAGGCTTCACATCAACTGTTTCTTGTTCGTGCACTTTTTTAGCGGGTTCAGGAGAAAAGGGGATTTGCAACATTGCATAGAAAGTCATGAAATTGTTGGCAATCAACAGATCTTCTGTATCTCAGTCGACCTATGCTTGGCCAAAGAGTTTTCGGACTTAACTGATGCAGAAACAAAGCAGTTCTGGATTCAAAAGATGCGTCAAGGCCAGGTTATTGGTATTGGCGGCGGACCAAGTTGTGAGACTTGGTCGGCGGCACGACACATGCCAGCTGGTCCTTCACCATTGCGATCCTATGACTTTCCTTGGGGCCTTCCGGGCCTTACTGGCAAGCAATGGAGACAAGTGTCCACAGGCACTACATTGATCCAGTTCTTAGTTGATCTGTTGGTTGTGGCGTCACAGCTTGGGCTATGTGGATTTCTCGAACATCCTCAATTTCCCCTATGTCTGATGAGAGTTAGGCCAGCCTCAATCTGGATGTTGCAAGCATTACGAACACTTGCACGACTTGAATGTGTTCAAATATGCTCTTTTGATCAATGTGTATTTGGTCTGGATGCGACAAAACCAACCACTTTGATGCTACTGCGGCTTCATACTTTCAAAGACGTGACTTTCACCAAGGGTCTCAGAGGCAGATGCCCACACAGGACCAAGCACAAGCCTTTGCAAGGAATTCAGCAGGACGGCTCCTTTGCGACAGCCCGGGCGAAGGTGTATCCCGAGGCGATGAATAGAGCCCTTGCCATTGCAGTGTCAAGGTTTTTGACTGAGAGACGACTGCAGAGCAGCATGTCCCAGTTGCCAATTGACCTGCAAAAATTAGATAGTACAGAGTTCACAGATGGATCCATTGTGCAGCCGGATTACCATCAGTGATTGCGTGCATTAGCCGAGCGTTGCACTGACGCAGACGCAGTATCAGCAAAGTGACATCAATTGTTTATCATTGTTTATCATTGTTTATCATTGTTTATCATTGTTTATCATTGTTTATCATTGTTTTCATTGTGTTATCATTTTATCATTGTTTATCATTGTTTATCATTGTTTATCATTGTTTATCATTGTTATCATTGTTATCATTGTTTATCATTGTTATCATCATGTTTATCATTGTTTATCATGTTTATCATTGTTTATTGTTTATCATTGTTTATCATTGTTTATCATTGTTTATCATTGTTTATCATTGTTTATCATTGTTTTTCATTGTTTATCATTGTTTATCATTGTTTATCATTGTTTATCATTGTTTATCATTGTTTATCATTGTTTCATTGTTTTCATTGTTTATCATTGTTTATCATTGTTTATCATTGTTTATCATTGTTTATCATTGTTTATCATTGTTTATCATTGTTTATCATTGTTTATCATTGTTTATCATTGTTTATCATTGTTTATCATTGTTTATCATTGTTTATCATTGTTTATCATTGTTTATCATTGTTCATCATTGTTCATCATTGTTCATCATTGTTCATCATTGTTTATCATTGTTTATCATTGTTTATCATTGTTTATCATTGTTTATCATTGTTTATCATTGTTTATCATTGTTTATCATTGTTTATCATTGTTTATCATTGTTTATCATTGTTTATCATTGTTTATCATTGTTTATCAGCATCTTCCCATATCCTATGTTTCAATATGATATAGTGATATATAGTGGATGGGAATCCTTCCAGTCAAGCGTTTACATTGCCATGGCAAGCTGGGTCGATCGATTTTTTTTGTTTTACCCCGTTGACCAACGTGAAATCCCCGAAAAATGGCGGCTTAAATGGGAAACTTATCCAACTAAATGGGGGGAAAAATTCCAGCCAGCCACGTCTGGTTACCAGAGAGTATCCAGACTTATAGTTATTCTGGTGAGAAAATGATGCTGATAATTGTTACGTATGAGAAAATATGTGTCAAGATGGAAAACAAGGTTCTAAGTCCTAGGATCCTGACGGATCTTGTTGTTTTTTCTGAGGTCTTAACATTTCTCAACATCTTCAAAGATGGAGGAAGAACCACCATGAAAAAATGTGACCATCCATCCCAATCAGCGATCGAATATATGGGTTTGTCTGAAAATAGGGTTAATATTCCCAAAGAAATAGCCATAAAAAATAGGGATAATGATCAGCAAAACCATTGGGTTGATTGGGGTACACTATTTTCAGACACACCCATATAATTACATTGGTATAGAAGATGTATCCGGGATTAAAATGAACGTTTCCCCAGCCCATCCCTGCAAAATGTCCAAGAGAAATTCAATCAAGTCTCGCATTGCCAATCTGAACGCCGCCCTGACTGTGAGGTTGAGCTACGACCAAGTGTTAGGGGCTCCTAATTTTGAGCTATACCTTGAATGAATTGGGGTAGTGCGATTGTTTCGCTGAAAAGAGTGGCTTGGGCCACTGCCAAATAGCCAGTTTCAGCGCAGACAAACCAGCCAGAGATAAAGGCATCTGAATCATCAAAGGATCAAGGAATCATACACGACAAATCACGACAACGGTGGAAAAGGTTTAGTTTAAAACACTGTCAAGTGACTTGACAGTCAAGTCTGAACGGCGTTGGTGTTTCATGCTTTGAATGACTCTCCCAGTCGAGGGCAGCACCCAAAGGTTTACAGCGCCCGTAATCTCAACCAAACGCTAACCTACCACTGATGCACCAGCTGGCCTGTCCAATGTGAATGCAGATTGCCTCACGCATAGCTACAGAGAGTTGTTACACAAACGGGTTTCGTGTCTCAAGCACGCCGTGTGATCAGGCACACCTCAGCCACAAATCCTTGAGCCAAACATGGAATGGAAGATCAGGTATTCCAAGCAGCTTCAGCTCCAACATCCCATATCCCGACATCTTCCAAGAATGGACCAACTGACTCAGTTTTCCTATGGTTTTCCGCTATGGTTTTCCTATGGTTTTCCTATGGTTTTCCAACTCAGAGATCTTCCCAGATTCTCAGTCCCGCCCAAAAAAAAACGCCTCATGCATCGAAACTGCGAGTCCATCGAGCCGGCCTCGGCTACCCAAATTGATGATGGACCGGACCACCGGACTTGGGTTTGAACTGAAGATAAGGTACCCAAAAACAAATGAGTGTTGAAAATTGAAAACTTGAAGTTTCCTATATATATATATAAGTATATATATATAAGTATATATATATATATGTATAGGATAGATAGACATCAATACCAGCGATCGGTGGCTTGCCTTCATTTTTTGACAAACCTATATATTACTCCAAACTCTGGCTAGGGAATGGTTGAACATTGACCAAGATGTCCAACTAAAATTGATGCACATTCACCATTTGGGTGTATCTCATTATATATATATATATATATATCATGGTGGTTGGCCTTATACAGATGAACGTACCAATTGACTGCCACTAAAATCTCCATGAATATGCCATCATCAACCCATTTTAATTCCCATAAAATCCAGCTTTTTTGCTGGTTAAACTCAAATCCCCATTAAATCCAAATTTCTTGCTCGTTAAATCCCCACGTTTATTGGATCATATTCTCTGGTTAAATCAGCAACATCTCCATCTGTTGCTGGTTCCATCCATTTTCCTCCACTAAATCCCCGTTTCTTCTTGTTAAATCCCATTACCATATTTCTTGGATATCTAGTAGATTTATCAATCCTCCCAATCAGTCATCCATTTATCAATCCCAATCAATCATCCCATGATTTTCATGGATTTTCATTGATTTGTTCATATTTTTTCCAGGGTTTCCACCTCCCCCGGCCGTCCCGGCGGCGCACCGCCATCTCCTGAAGCAGCTGCGTCACACGCGGGCGCCAGCGCCAGAGGCGTGCACGACCTACGGAGGTCGCAGGGATTCGTGGGTTCTCCGTACTTTTTCAAAGGGGAATATGAAACAGCAATGTGGGTAAAACAATGCCATAAACTATCCCCCAAATCACCATAAGTAGGTGGTGTAGGTGGTATAAACCATTCACAAATGGGTGCTTATTATTGTAAACAGCTGTTATAATCTCAAAGTTGACCAGCTTCACAAAGGCTAGGTTAAACCTAAGCGTTGTGACTGGGTGAGTTTTTGGTGTCCGTTGAAGTTCTGGGCAGTAATGTGGGTAAAACAATGCCATAAACCATCCCCCAGTCATCACCATTTTGATAGTTCGGACTGAAACCATTCCCAGTCATGGGTGGTTTATGGCATTGTTTTGCCCACAGTATAAAATCTTAAATCCTGATGATATATTATTAGATTTAGATTCTAGATACATTGATGTTCGTAAAGCAATAGGATCCACCATCCCCAATTTTACCAATGGGTGGGATTGAAACCATCAAAATATGGTGGAATCATTATTGCTTTACCAACATCAGTGCACCCCAAAAGAGATAGACACGTGAAATCCTATGATAGCATAGTGATGATTGACTTTTCTATCATTTTGAGGATTACTACAATGTTGACCTGTTGACCCAGTATTTGTTTAATCAAGTTTAGTGGCAATCTATCAGGATTTTAGGGTAACCCCTGGAGTTTGGGGGCAGGAGTTTGGGGATAGTTTTAAGGGTCTATAATCAAGCAATCAGCTGTAGAATGTGGTCTGAATTTGGGTTTTACTCGGGCTTTGATCGGGTATTATCCGGTATGTCCGATGATATATCTGATGTTGATGGATGTGAAAATGATACTGGTGGTTCAATTTAAAAGCCCTGTGAATGGGGGGTAGAATTGTGATTTTTTGTGTGATTTTTTATTAGGGGTTTCAATTCAATCGGCTTTTTATGTTGAGTGGTAAATGGCAGTGTGTCAAAACCTTGTACCCCTGTAGTTCACATCAAAATAGCTGGTAAATGGATGTCCATCCCATTAAAAATGGTATCTATAGGTATTGACCCATACCCAAATGGGTGCTTTTCATTGGGGTTCATTTTTTTGTGATCATCCCACAGATGCCAGGCCAATTGGGATGATCCCGCGTCTACCATTTTTGGTTGACGCCACGCGTTGGAAACTTTTTGGGCTGATATGCTGCTATAACTTCAGCATAGTCTGTTAGTTAACTCCACATTCAAGTGTTCATTTAAGTGTTCATTTCTTGTGCTCCCAATCATACTTCAGACCTTATGTGCTAAACTGAAGCATTTTAGAAGAGAAATCTATAGGCAGATATCTCAGATTGACAGAGGATGATCCAACTGCCTAGAAGTGTCTCAGAAATAGCACCTTTATGTTCAATCAAGGTCAATCCTATCAATCCTACCCCGTGCAGCATCAAGTGGGTTGCTCCAAACACCCCAGGTAGGTTTCGGGGGTAACTTGGGTAAGTAGAGGTAAACTGGATTCAACTGGCCCATCTACCCGCCAAAGTGGCTATCATGACTATCATGTACCTATATAGAATGAGTTGGAGCAACTGGAGCAACCCTGAGTATATGATTATAGATAGATAGATATATATATATATATTATATATATATGTAACTATATATATATATTATGTATAGTGGGATTATCTCATTGCATCCGATTTTTCATGACATCTGACGTAAGTGGAAGTAGCATCGACCCAGTTGAAACTGAGTCCTCCCGCGTGGGCTGCGATCGCCTGCCGGAACCGTCGGATCCGAGGCCAAAATCATCGGTTTGGTGTGAAACCAATGGGAAAACAAATGGTTTGGGGTAGCCATGTTGGTTTGCCGATGGTCTCCTGAATTCTGACCAATTCATTAAAAAATCTACGAAGTTCACTCACTTTGAAACAACTAAAATGTGAAATTTCCCCTCAACGGCACAATCCATGTTTCAAGGGTCAGTTCCACTGCCCCATGGCTGTTCGAACGGTACGATCTCCCCTTCCACCGCCGCCTGCAAACGATGCACCCAGGTCTCCCTGCCGCCGGTTTGTTTCACCATCAAGTGGGATAGGTTGACCTTCAAAAATGCTCTCTCTGTGTGTGTGTGTATAATATTACCATTATAATGTGGGTAAAACAATGCCATAATTCATCCCCCAGTCATCACCATAAATGAGTGGTTGTTTAACTTTTCCCCGTCATGGGTGGTTTATGGCATTGTTTTACCCACATTGATATATAACATGTAAAATTAACATTAATTAATATATGTAAAATACCATCTGGCTATTTAACATATTTAACATAGCCATGGAATATGACCCATAGAAATAGATGGTTTACCTATTAAAAATGGGCGGATCTTTCCATGGCAAACTGTTAGTCATAGCGGGTAAATCCTGAGTTCGAAATCCCACCAGATCCCAGATCGACCATTGCGATGATGTAACATGACCAACTGTCCGCCCATCCCACCGACCTCAATCGACCCGGAACCTCAATCGCTGCGGCTGCTGGTTGCTGGTTAGAGTCATCCCTAAGGGCGTCATCGCCCCAAGAAACCAAGGGCATACCCCGAATCATGGACTAGCCATAATGGGTCAAACTCTTGTTGGTCATCGCTACATAAACTAGTTAAATTTCTTTTCAATGACCAATCAACCAGGGATTTGTTCTAATAGTTCATGGTTACCCTCTGGTAAACTAACATAACTATGGAAAATCACCATTTTTAATAGGAAAATCCACTATAAATAGCAATTTTCAATAGCTATGTTAAATTACCAGAGGGTACGTCACATTCATATCTCACACGGCTCCGTCGGTCACCCAAAAAAACTCCCCAGCTCCGTCCTTGCTGCTGAGGTCGTCGCGCGCGCGACTTCGAAGGCGAAGGTCGCGACGCTCCGCCTGAGATCCACACCAGATGATTGGGTCGACCGATGGGTACCCTCTGGTAATTTAACATAACTATGGAAAATCACCATTTATAGTGAGTTTTCCCATAAAAAAATGGTGATTTTCCATAGTTATGTTAGTTTACCAGAGGGTAAATCCGGGTGATGCCTTCATCATAAACCAAGAAAATATCGGAAAACCAACAGGAAAAACATCAAAAGAAGTCAAAAAAAAACAAAGTGAACCCACTGTTGATAAGGGGGCGAGGCCAAAACATGGTGGTTTCAATCACGGAACAAAAAAGTGCGCCTGTTGCGATAAAAAAACATCAACCATGTCAAAAAAATGCGAGGGTAAAACCCACATGTAAAATGTCGAACTAAATTATGCTGTAAATAGGCCATGCTGTAAATAAGCCATCGTCCATAGCTATGTAACAAATTGCCAGATGGTTATCCAAAAGAAAACATTATTCATCACTATTGATATTCAACGCTATTAATGGATATCATATCCATCACTTGTAATCTATGATGAAAATCAATATAGTGGTATTATTTACACCCATAGTCCATAGTAATCCCATTATTCATCACCATAACCATTCTTAATGGATATTCTCCACCCATGATGGTCATGGCAACTTAATTGGTAGCGACTCAGAGGAGTTTTTAATGTGGAAGACACATGGGATACGACCATATAATGGGATATGATTGGAATCTAATGGGATATGTTGATATATTGTAATATAGCTAACATTAACTAACCAACATTAATGGGTATAGTCACAACAATCAGGGTTTTTTTAGTGGATAACTAGTGGATAAACAATGGATTACATATAAGCATATCTAGTGGATCATTGCTGCTCTACGCTCTGGTGTCACATGGCAGTTAGAAATCATAGGGAAGTTTCCAGGGCCATGTTTGATGACCGGAGGGTAGAGAAACTGCTGGGTTTTTTGCATATAAATATACCAAACCGGCTGGTAGCTGTTCCGGAAATTGACATAAGTCCACACCACCATTGATTGTTGGTAATAGAGTGTTAGTGAATCCCCCTTTTGGGCGCCTCTTGAACCATTCTGGTCTCCATGTTTGCTTCAAATCTCCCACTAGAATACCGTATACATCCCTTTTTGAGTATTCAATGCCCATTGTTTCTGTGTTAGTATCATGCTAATGATGTTAAATCCTGTGGGCTCTATTTGTTGATTATCGTCGTGGGTACATTTGGTATGACAATCATCTCATCTTTACAGGATACAACCCCTAACTATAATCATTATCACATCTGCCATTTCGACTTTTCATATGCATTGTGCATGTGTATAGATATACACATATACGCACACACAACTGGGTTGGTGGTTTCAACCCCTCTGAAAAATATTTATTAGTCAGTTGGGGTTATTATTCCCAATATATCAAACCACCAACCAGTTTTCAACACATAACGGTTATGAAATTCTCATCGCCATCGCATCGCTGGCCTCCCGCTGCTTCCGCATCACCTGCTGCTACAGCCATCAGCCGGGCCGGAAAAATGTTGGGTCAAATCTCCAAACCGAACGACGGGACAAACCGAGTTTTGTAGTCATAAAAAAAAAAAAAACATACAAAATGGTATTTCTTTATATATACATAGTGACTATGCAAATCTATGTCGACATGTAAAATGACATATTGAATAAATCACATCGTTTGATATCGTACTAAAATTGGTCATATTGCATCTATATATGCATCAAATCATATCAAATGTGAAACGTCACACACAACATTAAATTATATATATATATCATATGGTGTCATTGCATATCATATCCTATGAAATCTATCAAATATGTGATAACAAATATATAACACTATTAGTTAGTTGCCTATCATTAATTTGACATATATTTAACGAATCGTCACGGCGTACACGTTGCCTGGTCGATCCCGTCGATCCCTGAAGTTTGGATCAAAAACGGTGCCTCCGACCAGCGCCGCAGCCGCGAGGCATTCCGTCCAGTGAGACCCTCGGTTTGAAAAAGATCGAAGCTGATTCTAATTTAGCAAATAGCAAGAAAGGATCAAATGATATCAAATATGTCTGTGCCTTTCCTAATCACCAGGGAAAAAAGGTTGAATATGGTTTAGTCATTTTTAGACCCGAACAAATTGATCTTCACCAGCAAATCTGTGCGATATTGACCAGCAATTTAGTTTGTCTATTACTGAAAGCACGGAACCCCCGAAAACCCTATGGTTTATCATCATGTTCCGCAGTCAAAGATTGTATAGGGGCGAAACAATGCCCCACATATCATTAATTGTTGGTTGTATCATGTTGTATCTAGGAGCTCCCCATGTTTGATCCTCATTTTGATTGCATAATATGTGGTTATCTAATGTTATATCATGTTATATCCTGTTATATAACGTTGAATATATATATATTTATTTATTTATTTATATTTATATTTATTTATTTATATATTTATTTATTTATATATTTATTTATATATATAGATATATTCTTTATATTATTTATATATATATATATATTTATATTTATCTATCTATTTATCTATCTATTTATCTATTTATCTATTTATCTATTTATCTATTTATCTATGTATCTATTTATCTATTTATCTATTTATCTATTTATCTATCTATCTATTTATCTAGTTATCTATTTATCTATTTATCTATTTATCTATTTATCTATTTATCTATTTATCTATTTATCTATTTATCTATGTATCTATTTATCTATTTATCTATTTATCTATTTATCTATTTATCTATTTATCTATCTATTTATCTATTTATCTATTTATCTATTTATCTATTTATCTATTTATCTATGTATCTATTTATCTATTTATCTATTTATCTATTTATCTATCCATATTTATACATATATATTTATATAGATTTCCATTATTTCCATTATTATCCATTCATTTGGGGCATCCAGTGGCTGGGTCTGCGCACAGATGCTTCCAGTCGACCGCTATGGCCTGGGGATGTTCATCCTCATCACCCAAAATGGCCGAAATCATCCCCAAAATATGGAAAAATATGGGAAAATATGGAAAAATATGGGAAAATATGGAAAAATATGGGAAAATATGGAAGAATATGGAGGAATTTGAATATTTTTTGAATGTTTTTGCTAAGTTTTTCTGATTTGTTTGACTAGTTTCTGACATGATATTGATATGAATTCATGATTCATCCCTAAAAAACTGAACTCAAAAATAGAAGTTGTAGCTTTTGCATGCTTTTGCAGCCTCATGCTCTGACTGCGGATCGCGACACCCCCCTATGGATAGATCCAGCACATGTACCGAGTAAGTGACTCTTGGAACGGAAAGTGTTTTTTGGGAACCAACAAAACCACCCAACCTCAAAAAGACAAAAGGTTGAACCAAAAACAAAGGGGGGTTAACTACCAAACGAGCCAATATTGGGGGCGAGTCAAAGTTATATGCCCAATGGTCACCACGGGCTTTTCCAATCTTCAGGTGCCTAATGCAGCAATGCAAGTGACCAAATGTCCATAGATGTTGCATAGGGTGTGCATGCTAGCAGCGTTGGTAGGCACTTTGCAATGGATGGGTACCATATCTATATATATATATATACATGTAAATATCAGTGAAAATCAGTATGAACAAATGATGTGTATATAACTGTATATATATATATATGATTGTGTATGTACATACATACTAGCCAGCATGTAATGCAGGACCGTAGGACCATCATTGACATCCCGCTGTGCCCATGCCTTCGCCACATGCCTGCGGTTGGGTCAGCACCCAGGGGCTACCCTCTCGGGTTTTGCACCAAAATAGCTGGGACTTGTGGATGTTCATTCACGCGAAATATGGTATTTATGGCTTTGGATCCATACAATCATCACATGAAACTAGCAAGGTGTATGTGAAGCAGTGTACAAACCTAAGAAGAATGGGATGAATGATTGTGAGATAAACATGATGAATTGGAAGATGCGTACAACGAATTGCATTGGGATTGTATAGCCCAAAACTACTTCAAACATGTTCGGGCACAATGATAAGAAAAAAAGATAGGCAGAAGCTTAGAATAAGAAAAAAACATCTGAGATATATTAATGACAGCACTCCAAGAGTAGAACAAAACACGTACAAATTACGCATTGCGGACTTGTGGGTAAAATGTTGGGACATGGTGGGACTCTCTTCCCAGGGCATAGTTGCATTTGTGACAACCGGCCCTCCCTTTGGAAATCCACATCACTCTTGTGCCATGAGGAAAACGTTTGGCCTTGTCAACTGGCCAAAGGCCTAGTATAGGCACATACACTGCTTCGGGCATTTTAGTGGCAAAATACACCATCGAATTCACGTGCAAAATTGCTGACTGCATGGAAAAGTACATGCCATGACACCTGACGCATTGCAGACTTGTGGGCAAAATGTTGGGACATGGTGGGACTCTCTTCCCAGGGCATAATTGCATTTGTGACAACCGGCCCTCCCTTTGGAAATCCACATCACTCTTGTGCCATGAGGAAAACGTTTGGCCTTGTCAACTGGCCAAAGGCCTAGTATAGGCACATAAAATACACCATCGAATTCACGTGCAAAATTGCTGGCTGCATGGAAAAGCACATGCCATGACACCTGACGCATTGCGGACTTGTGGGCAAAATGTTGGGACATGGTGGGACTCTCTTCCCAGGGCATAATTGCATTTGTGACAACCGGCCCTCCCTTTGGAAATCCACATCACTCTTGTGCCATGAGGAAAACGTTTGGCCTTGTCAACTGGCCAAAGGCCTAGTATAGGCACATACACTGCTTCGGGCATTTTGGTGGCAAAATACACCATCGAATTCACGTGCAAAATTGCTGACTGCATGGAAAAGTACATGCCATGACACCTGACGCATTGCGGACTTGTGGGTAAAATGTTGGAACATGGTGGGACTCTCTTCCCAGGGCATAGTTGCATTTGTGACAACCGGCCCTCCCTTTGGAAATCCACATCGCTCTTGTGCCATGAGGAAAACGTTTGGCCTTGTCAATTGGCCAAAGGCCTAGTATAGGCACATACACTGCTTCGGGCATTTTGGTGGCAAAATACACCATCGAATTCACGTGCAAAATTGCTGACTGCATGGAAAAGTACATGCCATGACACCTGACGCATTGCGGACTTGTGGGCAAAATATTGGGACATGGTGGGACTCTCTTCCCAGGGCATAATTGCATTTGTGACAACCGGCCCTCCCTTTGGAAATCCACATCACTCTTGTGCCATGAGGAAAACGTTTGGCCTTGTCAACTGGCCAAAGGCCTAGTATAGGCACAGACACAGTTTACTGGTTTCGTGGGTGGTTTGAACCCATACAAACTATGTTTGAAATGTTTGGGGCCCCCTCCAAACCCGCATTTTCCGGCGCCATGCTATGGCCGCCTCGCAGAGCATCAGTAATCTCAGTTTGAGGTTAGCTTTCACCGCTGGGTCCTGCCCAAGCTTCACAAAGTGCGTTAATTTTAGGAGGAGCTTTTTGGTTGTATTGGAGGGTGCCGTTTGGTGTCAGTTTCAGGGCAAATTTGGGGGTCACATGGGGATGGGTCAAAACCCTGGTACCTAGTGAACCCCAAAATAGCTGGTAAATGGATGTTCATCCCACTAAAATGTATCTATAGGTATTGACCCATACCCATATATGCTGCACATGGTTTAACTGATTATCTGTATACAAAGTCCAACACCTCAACAGCGATCTCCTACACTCCCAGACTTGGTGGAATGGAAAATTTCTAGGAAAGCCCTGTATGTGGGGGCACCAACCAGGGTTTCCCGTAGTTTTTTCCCTTAGATCAACCCACTGATACACAGGCTATCTCTGAAAGGCAGGTCTGATCTTCCTACAACCGTCCTTTAAACTCTCCAATCTTCCCTAGTCTTCCCCTTCCAGATCTTCACTCCCAACTACCACACAAACAAAACGCCAACCTTCGGCTCGGCTTGTCTCGGCTCCTGGAGAAAGGCCAAGAGCTCTTTCTCGGACTTGGGATTGAGACCCTTTGTCACCAGATCCTGCTCCAAGGCGATCATCTCTTGGAACTTCCTGCCGAAGTTCTGCGGCAAAATGGAGGAACTGACCGAAAAAAAAAAGGAAAATCCATGGGGGATCTGACTTGATGTGTCCCTAGAGTTCTATAGATGTTGAAATCCCACAGTGGTAGATGGAAACCTTGTTTGATGGAAAAACCACGGAATGCCCGTGTAAAACAAACGAAAACTCCACAAATAGACTTGCCGTTGCCATGTGCGTTTCAAAACAATTCCTGTAGACCTGTTTTCCAGCCTGAGGTACAGCATGTCCATGTCGAAAACAGCTGCCATGGTCAAGTTATATACATGGTTTATAGTGGTTTGTGATTAACAATTGCTAATTGTCAATGCTTCATTTAATAATTAATAAACATAATATAACAATTGTTAATGATGATTAACTAACCATTGACAGTTCACCATGAAATAATGATTCAATCCACAGGTTTCTGTGGTCCATTCCACCATCATCATCCCGCGGGGAGAGCAGCCGCTTCGAGCCGCTTCGAGCTCCCCATTCCAGTAACGTGTTGTTCTGTTTGTAAAGATTTGTAGATCCTAAGAATTCATAACAATTCATTGTACCAGGAATAATAGATACAATCAATTCCCCATACATTGTACAAGCCTCAAAAATCCCGCAACATCCCAATGGTTGTATCATTGATCCATCCATTAATTCCCATACAGAAGCGCTATTTAAAAAAAAGGTGACAGACGCAAGGTTTGGGCCCCCGACGGAGAAGACACGACCTGGCCGGTGAAGGGGCGAGCGGCTAGCCATGAAGCTGAAATAAGGCCATGAAAAGAGGCCATGAACTATGAACCTTCATTAATATATATATATGTATATATATATATATACATACATACATATATATATATACATACGTATATATATATATAGTGCATATGTATAGAGATATTCATTGTTATATATTGTAACCACTGGGAACTTAAGATAGATATATTGTTACATCTACCCTCTGGTAATTGGACATAGCTATGGAAAATCATCATGTTCAACAAGTAAATCATTTATAAATGGTCCACTTTCCATAGCTATGTTGAATTCCCGGAGGGTATGAACCTGCATTGATTGAAAATATCATAATCTTTACCCAGTGTACATTTTTAGATTTGTCAATAATCATCTGATGGATACAGTAAAACGCGTAGATAGCGCCTGATGAACCTCTCAAATTCTCTGAACCTTTGAAGATGATAGGTAAATCGTCGATTTTGGGGATGCAAATCTGAGTTTCGTCGGTTTGAACATCATTCATACCTGGTTGGTGGTATACCTACCCCCTCTGAAAAATGATGGAGTTCGTCAGTTGGGATGATGACATTCCCAATATATGGAAAGTCATAAAAGCCACGTTCCAAACCACCAACCAGATACAAATTTCCCAACCATCGATCCCTGCAAGACCCCGGGCTGAACAACTATTAGTGGTTTATCTGCTGCCCCCTTTTTGGACCAACCGAAAATTCCATTATAATATAGCCTGATAACTTGGGGCAAAGCCCCCACTCTTGCACATGCCCATATTTTTGATATAGTAAATCCCATGGGGGCCACAGAAATTGCTAGGCGAAATCACCATGAAAAAAGCCGCTTGAATCCCCACTCATTGCTAGTTAAATCATCATTTCTTTTCGTAGTAACATAATATGTGTGTTTTCCCACAAAGTCCTGATTTCTGATTGTAAAATCACATGTTTGTTGACAAATTCCTAGTTTTTGCTGGTAAAAAAATCTCCATTTCGAGCTGCTTCCAACCACCAGCCACCAGCCACCACGATCTCGCCAACCTCTGAACAGCGCTCGCAAATCTCCAGGTGGATCTGAAGCTTACGAAAACGGTCCTGTTTTTTTTTTGGCTGGCCGATTTTGATGGGAAAACCATCTGCAAATGGTGAACACGGTGAAGAAAACCGTGAAATTTATCCATTGCACAGTCGATTGCGCAGTCGAAATATGGTGAAGTTCTTCTTGGATTTGTTGTCTCCGATGTGTTCTGCTGAGGTCTTATCGAAGATGTTTTTTTCTGCTGAGGCATTGATTTGCTCTTATGACTTTTTGTTCTGGACCTCGGACGAAATAATAGAATAGCAACATACGTGACGATTCACCGACGAATCAGAGGAAAAAAACATTATTTTGCCAGCAAGAAAATCGATTCAGCCAAGCAAAATAGGGCAACCAAAAATTCCAAGTCTAGATCCGCACATGGACTAAGTGATCTGTGGTTAACCCCCCAGTCGTCCAGTCCTTGTGGTCAGGCAGCGCTTGCACTGCACCTGTTCAGAGACACGCTGGGCGTCTGAAGGCACCGCATGGGGGTGGAGTTCCAGTTGGTCGTAAGTGAGTGGTAACATGTTGTAACCCCAGTTATATTTGGGAGGCAAAGTCCACTCATAATTGGGGTTACAACTCACTCTTTTAGGTTAGTTTACCCACTTCAATCAGTAGGGGAAGTGGGGGCAAAGTCCAGTCTTAATTGAAGTTGACTAATCATGACCAATCCATTTAAGATTCCTGGGGTGAACCACCCAGTAGTCTGTTGCGTGTGTCTTCCCAGCCGGCCAGGGGGGGACTGACAGCAGATCTGAAAAGTGCTGGTTTTTTCACGTTCCTTGACTAGGCCCTAAATGAAACGCTGAAAAAAGGTTTGCAGTACAAAGATGTAGAGTGCAAAGTTCAAATAATTTTCCCTCAAAAAACATTATATTTTTAATAGTACTCCAAATAATAGACATTATTGCGAAGCCTGAACCCATCTGCACCCAATTTACCGAGAGGCTGATCGTGGAAGAAACCATCCTTAGTGGCTCCCACACAGTTTTCAGTGCCATGGGGATTTTAGGAACAAAATATGGATGATAATGGGGCAACCCCGAACCCTTGGGGGGAGTAAGTTTTCAATATCCCCAATAGTTAAACTTGGTAAATTGGGCATGTGCCACACTACAGCGGTGTTCAACTCCCAAAAATGTTGACAGAATAGTCTACTCGTTGATGCGCGCCTATCCATGTTTTCAGGTGTTTGTTTGGATGTTTTGCCGCCTGGGTATAAACATGCAAAAGGAATTCACCAATCTGAAATCAAATATTATGTGGTTAGCACAGTGCTGAGTTCCATTGTTTAGTTTTAAAACTAAAGTCCCATGTCTGATTTTCAAAAAATATAAAATCAGTTTAAATTTGCCCAACAAATTGTTGGTCTACATTTTAAAAAAACATGAACCTATAAATTTACCAAGTCTAGGGGCCTGCGAAAGGATAGATTTCCTGGATGTCGTAGAGAATTATGTTTTCCTATCTTTATGGAAATCTATAGGTACCCCCCCCTCCACCCTTAAACTTACAGGATATCTATTATCAATCATCAATCCATATGAATTCTTCATTTTTCATTGTTTTAATACCATTCCTTGATGCTTACCCTGTTGTTAATTCATGTATCAAATCCTGAAATAACCATGGGTTGTGGATATCTACTGTACCTTCGTTAAAAACCTCAGGGTTAATAGTTCAAAATCTGTGGGAGGGAGCCCATGATAGTCCCCATCATACCCCTGTTCTGAATACTCAAAAATCATAACATCACCAATTTTCACCATCATTGACACAACCCTCCACCATGCTGTTCCCACATTTCTCCCATAGTTAAGCATCAGTAACCACAATTACCCTCTAGCAATCTAACATAGACCCTGCCAGATAAGGGTTTGCAGGATTTACTTCCACAAAACAAGATGCAGCCCACGAATCCGTATGCTCACACGTATGTTAATGGTACAGATGTCGAAACACATGGATATGCAGTCACGCAGAACACTTTTCTGAAACAGTTTTTTCAACAGTCTTGTACATTTTTCCCCTGTTACCATGCCAGCGCACCGTAGACTGTGGAATTTGGAAGAAGGTGGCCTGCTAAGTGTGCAGTGTGGAGTCTGGAGTGTAAAGTATGGACTGTAAAGTGTGGAAGTGTAAAGTGTGGAGTGTGGAGCGTAAAGTGTAAAGTGTAAAGCGTAAAGTGTAAAGTGCAGAGTGTGGAGTGTAAAGTGTGGAGTGTGGAGTCTAGAGTGTAGAGTGTGGAGTCTAGAGTGTAGAGTGCAGAGCGTAGAGTGCAAAGTGTCGAGTGTGGAGTGTAAAGTGTAGAGTCGGGAGTGTAGAGAGTGGAGTGTGAAGTGTAAAGTGTAGAGTGTAGAGTGTGGAATGCAAAGTGCAGAGTGTAAAGTGCAGAGTGTGGAGTGTAAAGTGTGGAGTGTGGAGTGTGAAGTGTGGAGTGTGGAGTGTAGAGTGTGGAGTGTAGAGTGGGGAGTGTGGAGTGTAAAGTGTGGAGTATACATTGGTTCAGGCACCTGCCTCTATCAGTGTTTTGGCACACGTCCAATGTTGTCCTCGATGTTGTAAGTGATGTTGTGAATTTCTCGTTTTTTTCCACGTAAATTTTGATTTTTTTAAATTTGGCGTTTTTTTTCTCACGTAAATTTTGATGTTGTGAATTTCTCGTTTTTTTTCCACGTAAATTTTGATTTTTTTAAATTTGGCGTTTTTTTTCTCACGTAAATTTTGATGTTGTAAATTTGGCGTTTTTTTTCTCACGTAAATTTTGATGTTGTAAATTTGGCGTTTTTTTTTTCTCACGTAAATTTTGATGTTGCAAATTTGGCGTTTTTTTCTCACGTAAATATTGATGTTGTAAATTTGGCATATGTTTTTCTCATGTAAATTTTGATGTTGTAAATTTGGCGTTTTTTCCCGACGTAATTTTTTATGCTGTAAATTTGGCATTTTTGATTCATTATGATTATGAAGTTTTGATTCAGTATTCTGATAAGTGATAAGGTAGGTTAAAGTATGTGTTTTTGTCAGCCCACCAGTTGAAAGGTTGTTAAGTTATCAATAAGTTATCCAGTTATCCATGTCAATGATGATAAAATTACATGTTTAAAAACTAAGTTCAAGTTAGGTTCAAAAAATATAGAAAAATATTTTTTAAAAAAAAAAACATTGTAAATTTCTGGTACATCCGAACGGTTCAGAACGGTTCAGGCGTATCAGTTTCTGATACATCCGAACGGTTCAGAACGGTTCAGGCGTCTCCGAACTATCCCGAACTATCCCGAACTATTCCGAACTAATCCGAACTCAGGCCTCCGATACATCCGAACGGTTCAGAACGGTTCAGGCGTATCAGGTTTTTGCCTTAGATTCTAAGCTTAAAAGTGGGCAATTTTACAACATAACAAGTTGAAGATGCATGACTTGTAAACAAGTAAAGGTGTTAAGCTATGAGGTTTTAAGTTAATTGCAAATTATAAGAGGAAGAAAAGTTGTAAGACAAGTGATGTCAGTTGCAAGTTGTGAGTTGTAAATTGCCATAAGTCAAGGTACTTCAAGTAAAACTTCGGTGAAGAAAAGCATGTCTGAAAGTAACTTTGGCTGTGACACAAGTCGTGGCAGAATGTTTTCCCAAAGAACGGGGCTGGAAGAAACTTAGGCTAAATTTCACAATCTTCTGAAAAGTATATGTCACACCCAAACCCGTCTAAGGCAGGCAATCTTGTCACGTGAGCGGTCAGTGGTCCTCTGAGATCCATCCTGGGGGCAAGGATGAGGAAAACGAAGTGATACCTGAACCGTTCTGAACCGTTCGGATGTATTTCATATAGTTCGGGATAGTTCGGGATAGTTCGGGATAGTTCGGGACTGTGCCCATGTTAGGCGTCGGCCTCTATAATTTGCCTGCGTGTCACCACACATTTGCCCATAAGTTTACAGCACTAGTCTTACAGTACTTCAGTGAGATCGAATTTTACCTGGTTTTAAAACGCATACAACCCACATACATACATACATACATACATACATACATACAGACATAGACATGCATGCATGCATACATCCTGTTATATCTTTGCTTTATTGATCGGACCTGCCTTTCTCGCAGGTGAGTCTTGTCTTGTTACCTGCCGTTACCTACCAATTTTACTTGCTACAGCCTACCAGGATCTACCAGGTTTAAGGAAACAAATTAGTTCATCATTTATTCAGCATTATGTATTATGCAACACTTACACGCAGGAAGTGACGATGTGACAACGCAACCATGCACCAATGTGTGACAGTGACCCTCACACAATGGAAGAACCACAGCCACAAGCACGGTTATCACCGAGAACGGAGCAACGAGAACAAGAACAGGAAACCGAAGAAAAAAAAGAAGAGCAACAAAAACAACAACAACCACGACGATGACGACGACGACGACGACGGCAAAACCAACCAATGAAGGGCCAATGAAGGGACAAAAACAAGTTAAACACACCCACCAGATTCAATGCCAGCTGAGTTTCAAAAAACAAACCAAAACCCAAACTGTGAAATCAGGAGTGTGACAATACAAAAAAGAATTGACCCATCTCAACATCAAAACAATATAAAACAATCATTGCAATAACGACATGAACAAAAATGGGCGCGCATAGTAAATCACGAATCATGACTCATGACGCAGCAAAAATCACAGGAAACAAAAAATACAACTCACAATGTCAGTCATGACTTGAAGCAAGAAAAGTTTGGGGTTGATAACATCAATCATGACATGAACAAGACTGGCGTTTACAAGATCCAAATTTATGTAAGAAAAAAGAATTTGGCGTTTATACAGCGTCAAAATGTACGTTAGGAAAAAAATGGCGTTTACAACGTCAAAATTTACGTAAGAGAAAAATCATCGGCGTTTACAACGTCAAAATTTACGTAAGAGAAAAAAAAAATCGGGGTTTACAACGTCAAAATTTACGTAAGACAAAAAAAATCGGGGTTTACAACGTCAAAATTTACGTAAGACAAAAAAAATCGGCGTTTACAACGTCAAAATTTACGTAAGAGAAAAAAAATCGGCGTTTACAACGTCAAAAATTTACGTAAGAGAAAAAAAAATCGGCGTTTACAACGTCAAAATTTACGTAAGAAAAAAAAAATCGGCGTTTACAACGTCACCGACAACGTCAACCAGAACGGTACACGTCAGCCGAAACACAGAGGGCAGTTATAGAGGAAGGTGCCTGAACCAAAGTATACAGTGTAAAGTGTGGAGGGTGGAGTGTACAGTGTAAAGTGCGCAGTGAAAAGTGTAAAGTGTAAAGTGTGTAGTGTGGAGTGAGGACTGTAAAGTGTAGAGTGTAGAATGTGGAGTGTGGAGTCTGAAGTGTAAAGTGTGGAGTGTCAAGTGTGGAGTGCGGAGTGTAAAGTGTAGAGTGTGGAGTGCGGAGTCTGAAGTGTAAAGTGTGAAGTGTAAAGTGCGGAGTGTAAAGTGCGGAGTGTAAAGTGTAGAGTGTGGAGTGTAAAGTGTGGAATGTAAAGTGTAAAGTGGGGAGTGTCGTGTGTAGAGTGTGGAGTGCAAAGTGTCAAGTGTAAAGCGTGAAGTGCAAAGCGTGGAGTGTAAAGTGTAAAGTGTGGAGTGTGGAGTGTAGAGTGTGGAGTGTGGAGTGTAGAGTGTAGAGTGTAAAGTGTAGAGTGCGGAGTGTGGAGTGTAGGGTGTAAAGTGTAGAGTGTAAAGTGTAGAGTGTGGAGTGTGGAGTGTGGAGTGTACAGTGTAGAGTGTAGAGTGTGGAGTGTGAAGTGTGGAGTGTGAAGTGTGGAGTGTAAAGTGTAAAGTGTAGAGTGTGGAGTGTGAAGTGTGGAGTGTGAAGTGTGGAGTGTGTGGAGTATGTGGAGTGTGTGGAGTGTGGGGAGTGAAAAGTGTGGAGTGTGTGGAGTGGGTGGAGTGTGGAGTGCAAAGTGTGGAGTGCAAAGTGTGGAGTGCAAAGTGTGGAGTGCAAAGTGTGGAGTGCAAAGTGTGGAGTGCAAAGTGTGGAGTGCAAGGTGTGGAGTGCAAAGGGTGGAGTGCAAAGTGTGGAGTGCAAAGTGTGGAGTGCAAAGTGTGGAGTGTAAAGTGTAAAGAGTGGAGTGTGGAGTGTAAAGTGTAAAGTGTGGAGTGTAAAGTGTAGAGTCTGGAGTTTGGAGTTTGGAGTTTGGTGTGTGAAGTGTGAAGTGTGGCATGTGGAGTGTAGAGTGTGGAGTGTGGAGTGTAAAGCGTAGAGTGTAGAGTGTAAAGTGTAAAGTGTGGGATGCAAAGTGCAGAGTGTAAAGTGTGAAGTGTAAAGTGTAGAGTGTGGGGTGTGGAGTGCGGAGTGTAGAGTGCAAAGTGTCAAGTGTGGAGTGTAAAGTGTAGAGTGTGGAGTGTAAAGTGTGGAGTGTAAAGTTTAGTGTGGGGAGCGTGGAGTGAGGAGTGTAAAGTGTAAAGTCATGAGTGTAAAGTGCAAAGTGTGGAGTGTAACGTGTGGAGTGTAGAGTGTAAAGTGTAGAGTGTGGAGTGTGGAGTGTAGAGTGTAGTGTGTAGAGTGTAAAGTGTAGAGTGTGGAGTGTGGACTGTAGAGTGTAGAGCGTACAGTGTAAAGTGTGAAGTGTGGAGTGTAAAGTGTGAAGTGTGGAGTGTAAAGTGTGGAGTGTGGAGTGCAGAGTGGGGAGTGTAAAGTGTAGAGTGAAAAGTGTAAAGTGTGGAGTTTAATGTGTAAAGTGGGGAGTGTCGTGTGTAGAGTGTGGAGTGTAGAGGGGTAACCCATCATCACTTGCGGCAGTAAGATTCAATCACTTGCGGCAGTAAGATCAAAAATCACTTGCGGCAGTAAGATTCAATGACTTGCGGCAGTAAGACTCTTCAAAACCAATCACTTGCGGCAGTAAGAATCTTGAACACCAATCACTTGCAGCAGTGAAACAATGCATTAGGGGAGCCTAGACGAGGGACACAACCGGTACTCCACTTCCTGAGCCTTACCATCCCACTTCAACCTTGGGGGGTGGGATGGGACAATAACGTTCATGTTCCTGTGCACACTCAGGCACAGCAGCAACCTCATCATTTATTTTTCTGTCGCGCTGACTCAGGCACTGCTCTTTCATGATCAGTTACCGGTGGGGTGGGGTGGGGTGGGGTGGGGTGGAACAATAACGTTCATGCTCCTGTGCACACACAGGCACAGCAACCTCATCATCTTTTTTTGCTGTCGTGCTGACTCAGGCACTGCACTTTTATCGTCCTGTCGCGGTGGGTTGGGGTGAAGTGGTTCGGACACCGAGCTAGCTTCTACACACAGCCACTTTTTACAGAGAGGAATGTCTTTTTTGCCTTCGACCCAGACATTAGCGCAATCAGATTTGCAACTGTCACATGCGCACACAAGCACCATTTTCAAGACTTTCAGTGCAGCATTCTGATCCAGCAATGGAGCCATGCCAGCCAGCAAGCCTCACGAGCAGCGCGCTTCGCTATGGAAGGCGGACACACATGAACATCATGATGTGCCTTTGGTGGTTGGTTGATCTTCCAATGATGTGCCTTTGGTGGTTGGTTGATCTTCCAACGGTCTGCCGGGGGCGGATGGTCAGGCTCCTGCATACAGCACTTTTAATGAGAAACGAACTGTGATTTATCATGAGGAAAGGAAGAAAACAAATCATCAACTCATGTCCTTAGGTGTCAGCTTCGATCCACTCGAACCACTGGACTTGACCTGCCACGACCACCAGACTGTGAACCTCTGAATTACTAAAGGGAAAGTGTGATGGCGCCTTCTTGTAGCGGTTGGGATCATTTGTAGGCATGAGCTCTTGCCAGTGCGTGGTGGATGCTCAGGTTCCGGTACCTGCATGAAGAGATACAAACATTCAACAAATTATATATATATATATTTTATATATATATAAATATTCCTGCTCATGCACTAAGACAACTATACATGGTCATGAACTACGAGAAACCTCATGAATACATGCATGCATGGTCATTGACATGTCACGCGCCTTCTGGCGCTTCTTGGACTGCATCTCATCATGCTCATCCTTCTCATCGTCATCCATCGGCCGCTTGTCGACCTCCTTGAGCACTTCTACCTGCATCGACACGCAGTGATTAAAGTGCACCATCTGGCATTATTCTTACGCAGTGAGCCTTCAAGGTCGACTTGACCCACTCGTTGTTCTTCTCACGCAGGTACTCCCAGCCTGATATGAGCATGACACATGAATGTGTATATAATGTTCTAAAGCTGCAGTCTGATGTCATCAGCTATACCACTCAGAATCTGACCATCAGTCGGTGGAGAATCACGATCCGCTTTGTCCAGGTTGCGCCAGACCGTGTTCAGTTCGTCAGCTGGCGGCATGTTCGAAATAGGCTTTTCAACCAGAGACTAGACACGGGGGCCCCCCCCTCTCCCCCCAAAAAAATAAACACCTCAGGTAATTTCTATTATTAGGGTTGTGTTTTTATTAATGAACCAAAGCGGACCCTAATAATAAATTTAAAGCCTTAATTTGAAAAAAAAAAACGATTTCGAAATCAATTAAACTTCCTTTTATAACCTAATTTAAAAAATGATTGTCCATGGTGTCATTTTAAGTACTGGCAGGCAACAGGTGCCATGTTATCGCTTCCTTCCGGCACCTCGGAAAAAGAAGTAGTATCCGAGGCTCTTTGCGTTATAGTAACCTATTCCTCAAATTGATTTGTAGATTTTCCACTTATGCCTAATGTTCCCGATTAACATAGACCAATGTCATCCCTCCAATGAACATGGACCCTGCCAAATAGGGTGTTGTAAGACTACTTTTCTCTAAATCCCGTCATCCTGTGCTCTTAATGCTAAGATATCATTTAGAATTGGATTTGTTCATTTCGAGTCTCCTACTTGGAGTATCTAGTTACTCTTAGGGGGATGGGAACTGGCTCCCTTTTAGCGGAAGCCGGCGATGCGCAGCACCCGGAGCTGGCCATTCTTTGAACGGCGCAGCGTCGACGGCGACGGGGCGTGAAACCGCTTCCTCATCGCTCACCTCCAGCCAGCCCTCATTGGGGCTGGCTGGAAGTACCGCCACCTCGGAAACACGAAAAGGAAAAAAATAGTGATACCAGGGCAGCATCACAAAACAATTCATGTTTCATCATGGTTCCACTTGTCAGAAGACTTCGAAGCGGGAAGAAATGCAAACAAGAATCAGCAGAATGCCTACATTATCGAAGGAAGTTTAGAAGTCAAACTTCCGACAATATGGACAGATGAAAACCAGAGCAGGGAAGAGGCAGAGAGAAGAGAAAGATTAGAAGAAAGAAGATGCAGATGCGCGAAAAGGTAGGAAAGTCGCGAAACACTGTGTTTTTCCAATGATTTGGGGCTCCGGAGGGTCGAAAAGTAGGCTCGCTAAAGCGGCGGGTGTGGAGCCAGCTGGCTAGATGAGAGACGAAAAATTGCACGCCGTTGTGGCGCGAAGCACATTTCCAAGTCAAAATGTTAAAAACACTAGGGGTTCGGACCACTTTTGGAAGTTCAGATGTCGGAAAAGTGCACGCCGTTGTGGCGCGAAGCACATTTCGAAGTGAACATGTACAAAACACACCATGGTCGGACCACTTTTGGAAGTTGAGATGTTGAAAAAGTGGACGCCTTTGTGGCGCGAAGCACATTTCCAAGTCAAAATGTACAAAACACACCATGGTCGGACATCTTTTTGGAAGTTCAGATGTCGAAAAAGTGCACACCGTTGTGGCGCGAAGCACATTTCGAAATCAAAATGTACAAAGCACACCACGTTCGGACCACTTTTGGAAGTTCTGATGTCGAAAAAGTGCAGGCCGTTGTGGCGCGAAGCACATTTCCAAGTCAAAATGTTAAAAACACTAGGGGTTCGGACCACTTTTGGAAGTTCAGATCTCGAAAAAGTGCACGCCGTTTTGGCGCGAAGCACATTTCCAAGTCAAAATGTTAAAAACACTAGGGGTTCGGACCACTTTTGGAAGTTCAGATCTCGAAAAAGTGCAACACCGTTGTGGCACGAAGCACATTTCCAA